ATAGTTCACTTACATGGAAAACACACATTGAATGGGTTTGCACTCTACTACAACAGAGATTGTATTTCTTACGTAGGTTACGTCTCTATGGAGTAAACAAGAATCTTATGCTTCTGTTTTATAAAGCTGTTTTAGAAAGTATTGTTAGGTATGGTATCACAGTGTGGTTTGGTAACCTATCAGTACAGTTTAAATCTAAGTTGATGCACCTGTTATTGACAGCATGGAGAATTGTTGGGCATGATGAACATTTTAACCTTCAAGATTTATATGAGGAATGTGTTCTTAATCAGGTACATTTCTTGTATTTACAGTATGAACTACTTACCTCTGGTAGAAGATATAGAATCCCAATGTGTAAGTTAAATCGATATAAGAATTCCTTTGTACCTGTATCGGTGCGGTTGTATAACAATTTTATTTTCTTGATTTTACTTAATTTTGTTATTATTTGTTTATTGTATGTCCGCAGCAACATGTAGTCCATAACAATTTTCATCTTGAGGACAATAAAGTATACTACTACTACTACTACTATTATCGGTAAGCCCCTCCCCTCGAACGCAGATGAGCCAATGGCAGTCGAGTATCAGTTGCACGGGGGCGGGACTCAGACATCTGTAGGTGTCGGCGCCATAGAGAAACATTGGAAGATCTGCAGCTTTCCTTGGTTTGATGGTGTTTATGCTACAAAAATGGAAAAACGATGTGCCTGGGGTACTTGTAACAGTGATTCCAGGTATCCTGAGAGGATGGGCAATAGAATTAATTTTATTTCATTTCCTGAACCCAAACAAAACAGAGCAAAATGTCCGTAAGCATTCGACTCTAATCCCAATGAAGACGAAAACGTTCATTTTCTGGTTGTCATTCTCTCATTATTTAAATTTTTTTAATGTTAATGTCATCTTGTGCTTCAGCAAAGTATCTCTGGCTAAAACTAGCTAACCTTGAAGTTAGTGAGTCCTTGCTAACGTACAAAACTAAATAGCAGACTGTTCTCGCGTCTTGTACAGTGTAGGTCAAAAACACATAAACGAAGGTCTACATTTCACTGTCTCTCCATATTAAACTGGTTAAATGTACATTAATTTAATCGTACCCTGCGGTACATGAACAGTGTTGATCCTGCATGTTGTCACCCATGATCGTGATGAACGTAACATGAGGCTTCTCCCGTTTGCATTGTGGTCTGTGAACCCTTGCTTCCAAATTATTCGAGTTACCCACCATATTTATTTTAAAATCTTTTATATATCCCTCCATGGCATATTTAATTCCCACTTGAACGGTGGTTCTTCTATGTCCAAAATTGTCCAAAATGGTAAGACAGTGAGCAGCTCTGTTTGTTTGTCCGAGGGAGCAACAGTAACTAAGGGGGCGGGGCTTACCGATAGGACAATTAAGTATCTGTCTGATAAATATTGTCTTAATCCTCATGTTCTGGTCATTTTGACCCAGAGAGGATTTTCTTTTTCCTGAAAAGGAAGATATTTTGATACATGAACAGTGTTGATCCTGCATGTTGTCATCTGCTATCGTGACGAACATAACATGAGGCTTCTCCCGTATGCACTGTGATCTGTAAACCCTCGCTTCCACATTAATTGAGTTACCCACCATATTTATTTTAAAATCTTTTAGATATCCCTCCATGGCATATTTAATTCCCGCTTGAATGGTGGTCCTTTTGTGTCCAAAATTGTTCAAGAACGTCTTGTGACGAGGCTTTCACACTGACAGCTGTCATTGTAAGACCGTGAGCAGCTCCGTTTGTTTGTCCGAGGGAGCAACAGTAACTAAGGGGGCGGGGCTTACCGATAGGACAATTAAGTATCTGTCTGATAAATATTGTCTTAATCCTCATGTTCTGGTCATTTTGACCCAG